GTTCCTGTTGCATTTTTTCTTAGTTAATTGTGTCTTCTTTTCTACCTTTCAGTTTCCTGAATCTTCTAAAATTTACCATTTATTACTCTCATACATAATTTTTATTTTGAATTTTAATTTTATGTCTTTCTCTTTTGTTCATTTCTTCATTTCCCATTCATTTGTTCAATTTGTCTTTATGATTTTCTATTTTAAAATTTTTCCATTAAGAATGCTGAACATATGTGTCTCTAGATAATTAGCATATCAAATATTGTTTCTACAAACATTCATCATGCTCATTATTAATATTTGATGGTGTCATATCTAAAAAAACTTGATATGCATTTTAGGTGTCTAGTTTGACATTCTGTCTGAAGTATGAAAGAGTAGAAGACTGTGATTTTTCTAGGGTGAACAGCAACAGAACAACAGAGTTCCCTGCAATGTCCATTTTCCATTTAATCTAGTGGAATAGAGAAGAAATTTCTCTGTCCAGTTTTCATTTCTGTTGTGGTTAACTTTATAAAATATATCTTGAAATACCTGACTCAATATTATTTTGGTTGTAGCTCTTTTAACTTTGTAAAAATACCATGGAGAAATACCAGTGTTGAAATTCTTAAAAGTTTTCACACATTATAGTCTATTCCAAAACTATTTTTCTTAATAAGACAGTGTGATTGCAGGGGGATTTAAGGGTAGTATGATGTTGAAGTATTATGTATCGTAAGTATGCCTTGAGAAATCCCACAATATATCAAAAGATCAGGCACTATTTGTTGTTCACTAGTGAGAAATTCAAGTACAGAAACATGGAGGAGATATCTCAGAATGATTGTGGAAATTAGTAAATGTAGTATTGCAAATCAATCCTTGCAATTTTCAAATATTAAGATTGACTGAACATAGGTCTAGAGGAGAGGGCATCTGTTCTTATCCAAAGAGTTATGTATTTTTTCTGTGAGAACACATAAGATCATTGACTGGAAACCATGTGCACAGTAACATTTAAAACATTTGAAATCCAAAGTCAGATGTTGGTGACAACCCATAGAACACTGACACACATAAAATAAGGAATATTTAATTTTACTAAAATTGTGCTGAATAAGACAAAGTAACATTGGTGGATTAGGCTCCATCCTGGATATATGACATGGGGGTTATATGTGCTTATTATTCTATCACAATGAAACAATGACTCCTTCACTTGCATGTGTATGTTACAGCAACCATAGTACAAAGGTCTGTGGTAGTATAAATGAAAATAATTATCTCACACAGATGTGTGTCTTTACTATAAAGTAAATTAAGTTATACAGTTGTTGTGAAAAGTGGGTGAAATATATAAAAAATGGAGATGTACTGGAATGATACAGATAATAACTGATGCCTAGCAAACCCATTAGTATTGTGTCTATTTTATATGATGGAAACCTGGAACAGGTATGAGCCAACATGTACTGTTTCCATTGGAGGTTTTAGTATCACACAAAAGTGTCCTGTACAGCCTTTAAAGGCAGTATAGGTGGGGGGTGATTCACTGAATAGACTATTCCAAAATCCATTAACAATGGCCTTTCAGTTGTCATTATTTTCCAAGTCATGAGAACCTAATCTCACTGAATACAGTCTTTATAAGATTTTCAAATTGTTTATTGGTCACTATCGTCATCACTGAGGAGAACACACCGGGTAAGAAACTATTGACTTCAGTTGCATCCAGCTAGTGGTGAGCTTTCCTATGTTACCTTCTTTTATCTATGCTTTATTAAGAACTATCTATGCTTTATTAAACTCAGATAAAAAGAATTCCTAAAAGGCGGTAATTAAGAAACACAGCAAATTCATACATAACAAAACATAAATACAAAAACTCACAAAGAAATTTCATTGGAAATGATAAAACCAGGAAGGTGTCTGTGTCAACTAGGACAAGATTCAGCACAGAAAATATATCAACAGAATGCAGGATTTATTTTGACTTTATTTGAGAATAGTGAAAACTTTGAGAAAAGCTCTCCATGTTATTGATTGAAGGAATTTCTATTCATAAGCTTCAACTATTTATGCAATAAGACAAGGGCTAAGACGGAGGCTAGTTTCTCTCTATAGAACATTTAGAGTGTTTTACTCTGTGCAAAATAGCAGTTGAAATTCCTCAGTGGATGGTTCTGGATCAGAGTGCTCCTCAGGAGCCTCCATTTTGTAAGCAATTTTTTTAGACTGGATAAACATTACAGTTGAGATATTTTCCTTTACTAAGGAAGTTACTCATATTATTGTGTTTAATTTTGACTCAAAACACAGTATGTCCCTCCTATTTTAGGCTCTGTCAATGAGATTATAATAATCCTCCAAGTGTCTTATTTTGAGGTGAGAATAATATAGATGATTCCCCTTTGTTGGAATACTTATAATTTTCTTGTTTTTTCTCTACCATCTGATAAAATTTTACCAGTATGACAGAGTAAACATGGATATGATAGCCTGAACAAGAATTTAGAAATCTGATAATGGATTTTCTAATATTTCTAGGGAAAACAGCAGGGGTATTTCCCACTACATAACATCTAGAAGAAACTCAGGGATACTGAATAGATGAGAAAGAGTTCCATAGTCAGAGAACTATTTATTACTCAATATAATTATTTTTGTTTAGACAAAATAAAGCTGTAATAAAAATGCCACACCTATGATAACATAAACATATATATTCTATTACTTTTATTTTTATATCCCTTTTCTTAGAAAATCTTATCAGAACATGATATGTATACATATGTATGTCCCCATTCTTTAATAAATACCCATGAATTCTCTGTTAGCCATTCTTGATTACTTTAATCCTTCCTTCTTTCCTCTTATTTATTATGATCATGCATTCTTAAAGACTTTCCAACATTTTATTTTGTTAATCCCCGGTACAAATGTTAATTTTAATGCCTTTCATTCTTTTTTGGTTTTTATGAGACAGAGGTCACTGCAGTTTTTGGAACCTGTCTTGGAATTCATTCTTGTAGATCAGTTTGGTCTCAAACTCACAGATATCTGCTTACTTCTGCTTCCTAAGTGCTGGTACTAAAGGCATGTTCTATCATTGCCTTGTTACAAATATTTCTTTTAAATTTATTTTGATTATGTTTTTTACATTTACTTTATTTGGTATTCAGTTTTATTTCATTTTCATTCATTTGTTTATCTTAAATTATATTTTTCTTTTATATAACAATCCCAGAACACTCTGTAGTCAAGCTAAAGAATGTAAGTAGTGCTTTCTTCATTTTGAGGATATAAAATGAAGAAGATAATAACTTGTCTTAATCTTTCCTAATCTATTATAGTGACATATTGACACCTGAATTTCCATGTGTGCTTTCCTCTTCAGCATAGCAGGTAGCTGTGGCCCAGTAGAAATGATCACAGTCATGTGACACAAATTTGTGTCCTTAGTATAAAGTTAATTAGTCTCAAACATGGGAATTCTAGTGGTTGTTTTTTGTTTAAAATATGGAAATGTATTAGTTTGTGGCAGATGCTAAGATCATAATCTGTTGCCTCCAAACCCCAGTGAGATTTTTATTGCTCATTTAAAAAGACATAGAGTAAAAAGGGTGTAGTTGAGACCCAGTGTCTCATTTGTGATTTTAGTCTCCGGTATCAGTATACTGCAAATTGTTCAAGGGTGTCAGTTTATTTTCCAAATGAGATTAGAGTAAATTAACAATTAATGACTTAACAACTGACACTATTTTCCAAGTCATGGTTACCTATTCCACTGAATACATTCAGTCGACGAGTTTATCAAAGAGCTGATATGCATCATCTTCACTGAGAATTAAAACTGAATAGAATATTAAAGGCCATAATTGTATCACACAAATGGTGAGTTTTCCAGTGTTGCCTTCTTTAAATAACATTTCATTAAGTATTATGGCTCATATAGGATATAATCTTGTCAGGTACTTACCCAGGGATTCCAAAGAGTGATACTTCACAACAAAACTCACACCAGAGAGTTTTGAGTTGGATAAACCCAGGAAGTTTGGTTCTGCTCAGACAAGAAACAGCATACAATTGAGAAGAAGGTCAGGTTTTTATAGATTTTCATGGAGAGGTCCCGTAATTTCTCAGAGTGCACCTCTCCAGGGTAGCTATTGGAGGTGTTTCAATTCCAAAGTTTGAACTTTTATCTCAGTAGAACAGTGGCTGCAATAGGTCTATGTTCTGCCTTTTGAAAAGTTAGAGATTTTTATTGTAGTACCTTTCAAATGCTGGTTCTTAGAAGAGGTTCATGACCACTACTACATCAAGGGATTTATAGGTTTAAAGCCCTAATTTTAGACTAAACAATGATTAAAGTGAACTATTTTGCTCTAATGATGCAGCACCCAAATTTATTCTATCCGGTGTCCTCTGTCCTCTAAAACTTCAACATATCCTCTCTCTGATGATTTTTAAATGATTTTTAATTGATTGTATTTAATTAATTGTATTTTTAATTGATATTTATTATCAACTAATAGCAATGACACTGAGTGTACTTATGTTGCTGAAGAAATTAAGTCATACACCCCAAGCTCTAAGATCTATTATTTTAAGACACATCAGTAAGAAAGGATCTTCCAAATGACATCAAATGAAATTTTCTCTACATATGTGTTATGGTTGTGTGGTTTGATCCTACTGTGGGACTCCTGTGTATGGGAGCAGGTACTGTCTCCAACATTTTTACAGACTTTTGGAAACCTACTCCTCATTCTGTGTCACCTTGCCATGCCTTGGTGCATGAGAGGTGCTTAATCTTACTGCAACTTTGTTTGCTATGTTTTGTTGATTTCCATAGGAGACCCAATCTTTCCTGAGCAGAAATAGAGGGGGAGTGGATTGGGGGTGGGATCAGAGGGGAATGGGGAGGGTGGAGGTTGTGTCTGGGATATAAAGTAAATACATAAATGAATTGAATTTTTATGAAAATTAATCATTAGGTGTAAAAATTTAACATATCACAGGAAACAGTTTTGAACACACACACACACACACACAGAACATATGTTGGTAAAATGACTGCATTTGTAAAATAGAATTACGGTATGTCTTTGATACAAGAAGGTGGAAGATATGCATATGTTGTGATTTCCAAATAGAGTAGAACATTTATTCATTTGGTTGCCAGAGTTTAATGCCAGTAGATAATTAACATACCAAAAAATATCAAGGTGTCCTCTTTAAACTTAAAAGCAAACAATAATACCAAAAAGAGAACAACAATCAAAACAACAACAAAGTAACAATATCATCTAGGGCATCTTCAGAAGGATATGCAGTAATCTGAACATTATTGCAAGAGCGAGGCTGGTGTCTGTCACTTTTTCCACCTCACAGTTTGGTGTTCAGTCATCCTGTTCAGGGCACTAAGGTTAGGAGCAGTCCACTTCTGATGTTCTGATGAATGCCCTCAAGACTGATGGCTGTTTTCCAGACTCTCCTTGCTATTCCTTAACTCTGAGGCCTCAAACTTGAAGGGAAGAATGTTATATTGATTAGAAGTGTGCCCAAGACTTCTGTCCACCTCATATGCATGTGTCTTCAAGCAGAGAGGGAATATCAGACAGTTGCTTGGTCAGAAGATAAAACCAGAGGCCCTTTGGATAAGGATGTTAGTATAGACACCATACATAACAGAAAAGGAAGATCTGAAATTCTCTTGGCCAGATGTGGAGTTTGAATACTTCATTAAAGGAAAAGAGTATGTATGAGACACCCTTGGTCAATGGGAACACTATTGAAGGCCTCATATTCAGACATTAAATGTCTCCCACATAAGTCAGAAATGTACAAATAGGGATCAAAGGGTCAGAGGTGAGAGGTCGGAGGCTTGCCAAGGTGCATGGTGAAGAAGGGGGGAAACAAGTGCCATGGAGAAAATACAAGGACCCCAGGGTCAGTTGGGAAATGTTTGAGGGCGTCTTGTGAGGTGTGTGGCTATCTGGGGCTATTGTAGATATAGACTAACATGTTGGATTGGGTAAAGCTGGAAATCAGCATACGCACTGCTTGACATGAGATCAAGGTCTCAGCTCACCTCATACAGTGGAACGCATTCCAGGAACTTCCTTATCATCTTCCAGCTCTTCATCGGAGACTCAAACATCTGTCCACTGTAGTGAATGTGTGGTAGGTGAGGCAGCAATCTGAGTATTTTCCAAATGCCTGCATGAGAGTCCCAAGCTGGCTCTCCTTCTCAAGCATATGTTCAGTTGCTCAGATCTAGGTTTGAATGATGGGGACCACATTTTATTAATTTTGACTCTGAGGCAGTTCTAGACTCTACTTGCAACAGATAGACTTGGAGACTTTAAGCCTGGGATGTCTGGAGAAGTCATTGTTTGAAGAAAAATAGTCTATGGTCTCATGTTTGGGTGGGGGAATGTCTGAGGCCACTGAATCAGAGGAGAAAACTGTGAGCTCTCCTTGAATAGAGAGGCCTATTTGAAGACAACTTGCATAATGAGAAGATCTGAGGCTGTCTGGCAAATCATAGGCAGTAGACTTAAACTCCTTTGGTCACATCAGAATGGTATGTGGCCCAATAATATGGACCTAGTAAGTTTAATCCCACAAGGGCATATTCAGAAGATCTAAGACCCCATGCAGGTTGGTAGACTGTACCTCTCTATTAGAGCAGGCAGGTCTGAAACCCTTTGGTCAGAAGACAAAACTTGGAGGTATACTTGGGAGAGGGGATAGTCTAAAAGCCACAACAGTAAAAAAAGGATACTCTCAGGCTTCTCTGCATAGGTGGAGCATATCCATGATGTGAGAGTCCCCTCTGTGTGCTGTGATTACCATTAATAAATAAACTGTTTTGGACCTACAGTAAGGCAGAACTTAGGTAGGCAGAAAAAGTCTAAGTGTGCAGAAGAAGAATTCCTGCTATCAATTTGGGAGCAAGTGAAAGATCTAAGACCCTCTTACTTAGAAGGAGGAGTCAGAAGCTCCCTAGGACAGGGTGGAATAATCTCAGCCTCCCTTGGTCATATGTCTGTGACCCTATTGGGGAGAAGCTTAAACATGAATGATACCCTGAGAAATAGAGAAAACCCAGGCACTCACTTCTTCCTTGGCACCACACTTGAAATCACAATCTAGAATACACATTTTATGAATGTCCATGTCAGGCATGTCAGCAGTCTTAGAAGTCTTCTAAGAGGCTGCACGACAGAAGTCTGTGACTCAGTTTCTTCGTCTGGTATAGGTCAATCCACAAATTCCTCTTCATGTGGGACAGGAATTTTCTGTCTAAGGGACTAGAGTGAAGACATTAGTCTGTGTTACCCTCATCTTGCTGTTGTGTTCAAGGACCTTGGTCCAGAGAGCTCTGAGATCTCTTTAGTCAGAACAGTACTTTCCAAGCCATGCAAATTAGAAGTTATAAGTGAATCAATGGTGAAATGTCCTTGATCACACAAGGCAGGCCTGAGACACTCTTCATTGATGTGAAGGTCTAAATCTCACTATATAAGATGGGGTAGGGCCTTGGTATTTTGGACAGAAATAAAAAGGGCTATTACACCCTTTATCAAAAACATAATGTGGCAGAATTCATGGGAATGATGAGAAATATTAATGCACTCTGGTCGTAACTGGAGTTTCTGAGACATTTTGTGCACAGGTGATAGTCTACACCTATTTGTCAGAGGTGTAATCTATGGCAATGTTCAATGAAATAGGAAAGACAATTTTCCATTAAGCATAAGCATTCTGGAGCAAAGGAAAGTCCCATCTGGCCTAATCAGCTTCCAAATCTTTTTCAGTATTGAGAATATCCATACCTTTGTGGGATTGTGAAATGCTGAGAAGTAATCGTTGCATGTTTTCAAAGTGGTTGGATGGTTATTTTCAGTCTAAGAAGCCACTGGTCAGATAAGATAATCCCATATATGTAGCACGAAGAAAGTTTGAAGCAATCCTAGACAGTTGGGAATATAACAGACATACATAGTCAAGAGAACAAGATCTATAGGCCCCATAGTAGAGATGGTAGGCCTGCACCATCCTTGGGCAAAAGAGGATATATTTCAAGCCATCTTTGGCTTTGGGAGAAAGTTTTATTTCCCCATAGATTGAGGGGAAAAACCAAGTATTTAAATTGTGTCTGATGCTATAATATGCGGAGTTAGATACTCTGAATCTCCTCTATGAAAGAAAGACATTTTCGGACCTCTTGATCAGATGGCAGGAATTTGAGGGTCCTGGAAAAAAAAGAGGATAATGATGACCCTTTCAGATGATGTATTGGAGGTGAAACATATTTAAGTAGAAGAGGAGAAGGTCTGAGTCCTCCTTCATCAAAAGGGAATGATTGGATCCTTGCTATGTGAGGGTAAGTTTTGAAGGCCATTTTGATTGGAATTTGAAAGTTTTGGGGCCTTGGACAGGTATACATCTTCCCTGGCCCCGTCAGTCATGCAGGATAGATATCATGCCCTCTTGATTACAGAGTGTGCATTTGAGGTCTAATTGACAGAAATAGATGGTGGTTAGGAATGGAAGACTTTGGCAGACTTAAAGAGGGAAGCAAAGTCACAAACCACTTAGGCAAAAGGGAGTATCCTAGTCTACCTTGTGCAGTGGAGGAAGGACTTCATCAGAGTTTTGAAAATTCACATATCCAGGAACACTGTGGCAGTCCTGGTGGCAAATTTAGCATCATTTATCAGTCATGATTGACAGGGTCCAGTTCTTATCACCCACATTGGTGTGTGCATGAAGGAGGAGACCTCCTCATTCTGGTGACTTTAATGAAACAAAGATGACCTAAGTCTCAGGCTCTGTTACCTCAAAGCAGAGCAAGATGAAGTCCCTTCAGTCACACATGTATTTTCAAAGTGGATGTAGTTAGAGGGGAAAGATCTTCATTGTGGGAATAATTCAGAAGCCCACATGCATATAGGGGGTGATCTGAGGATCCATTAATCCTGGTCACCTTGAGAAAAAAGGAAATTCTGAGATGACTTTTATACAAACCAGGTATTCTTATGAATTTCCTTAAACTGAGAGGGACTGCCTTGGGTATTATTTGTTATAGCGGAAGGGCCTGACAGCTACTTTAATCAAAGTGGTCTTCTGATAATTAGTCATCAAAAAGGTACAGTGTGAGATGCCTTGAAAATAGGAACAGTTTGGGAAACCCATATTCAGATGGGAAACTTCTGAGGTAAATCTGAACTGTGTTTCTTATAGAAAAAGTGCCTGACTATGTTTGACCAAATAGCGAGATCCACTCACCCCATTGTGCAGAAGAGAAAATGCTAGTTTAACTTGAGTGGTATGGTTCAGCATCATTTGCTTCCTACTGTGTTTCCAACTTCCATGATCCATGTATTGCATCAACTGTTGGGAAGAGTACAAGAAGCAATTACAACACTCTTTCAACATGATAAGTGGTTGTGCAAACTTCAATGCTTCCTCAGGGTTGTATTGATCTGTGCTTAATCATCAATGTAAGTGATGTGGGATGTCCTTCTGTATATGTTTTTTTTGGTTAATAAATAAATCTGCTTTGACCTATGGCAGGGCGGAATATAGCCAGGCTGAAAGAGATATAGAAAGAGATTAGGTGGAGTCCAGGACAGGCCATGTAGCTACTGAAGGAGAAGTACAGCAGAGTTTTTCCAGTAGGCCACAGCCGTATAGTGATACATAGATGAATAGAAATTGGTTAATTTAAGATGTAAGAGTTAAAAAGAAGCCTGGGCTAATAGGCCAAGCGGTGTTGTAATTAATATATTTTCTGTGTAATTATTTGGGTTTTAACAGCTGGATTTTAAGCACAGTCTTCATTTACATGAAATATGGGAACATTTTACATTTTTGACAGCTACATTCTAGGCAGATGGCATGATTATTAGTTTTAGTTTTTATCTTTTTTCCTCTACCTAGAATCTCATGAGATCCCATGGTTATAAAAGCGTTTTCATAGCAATCTTAGCCCCTGGGATTGGTACTAAGGTAATATGAGTCCAAGGGTCAAGTGAAATGTGTCCATGAAAGAAAGGGAATGCTCTAGGGCGTCCCAGGGTCAGTGGCTAGACCTGAAGCTCAATTAAATACAGAGTGAATGATTTGCAACACCTTTGGTCATGGAAACCAATTTTGACACCTTGTTTATCACTGTGGAATATTCCAGGCACCTTTTGGCAAAAATGGGATCTTTATAGTTTTTGTGGTTGAAGTTTGTAACCATAGCTCCCCCTTTCACTGTAAAAGCAAATCTGATTCTTACTTTTACAGTGTAAGTGGTGTAGGAATATTTAAGCTGGGACCTATTTATTCAAAGGTAAAGTATGTGGGTCTTTGCCACAAAATGATTACTTGAAACCACCTTAGGCAAATGGGGAAGATCTGCAGTAGGCTTTGTCCTAGGAGGGAGGTCTGACATTTTCATCAGTGAAGTAAAAGGAGTACGCTAGTCTGAAGAGAGTGGAAGCATTGAGAGTGGAAGCAGTGAGAAAGGGAAAATTTTGTGACCTGTATAGGGCAAGGGTATGAGTTAGAAAATGCTTGCACAGAGGGGAGAAATGTTATGCACCATCCTGTTGAAGGTGAATGTCCTTACTACCTTATTCAGTGAAGGAAGGTCCCATTACTGCACTTCAGCTTCCAACTCTTCTTTAGAGCTTGCTCATCTTGTGTTGAGTCTTGGAGAGTTCAGGCAGCAGCAAGACCATTTTTCAGTGTGCCTGGATGGCTATCAACAGCTAGGTTTCCTCTTTTTTGAGGTTGTTTTCATAATCCGTGTATGGGCAGCAGTGATGGGGTCAGTTGATTTCTAGTCATTGGATTGAAAAAACATAGCTTAGAATTCAGTTTCCTTTTCTACATTTAGGACTGGGGATCACAACCTAGAGTGGATCAATGCATTTCCCTAGCCACCAGTGCCAAATATAAATGGTTTAAATCATTTTTATTTAGAGTAGCATATTTTCAAGGTACTTCAAAGACAGAATGGAATGCTTGAGAATTTTTGATGGAATCCTACAAGGTAGGATGCAATATTATTCAAAATACCATCTCTAATGTCACCTTGTGGTGGGGAAGAATTGTCTGTATTCTGTCAATCATGTTTTAAATAAACTCTGATTGGCCATGCATGAAGTATAGGTGGGTCAACCAGACAGGAAGTAGAGGCTTGGAAATGAGAACAGGAGTATTCTGTGAAGCAGGAAGCTCCCCCCACACTCCTGCCCAGACTCCAAAGAGGTGAGATGTGACCTGCCCTGATGAGAAAGGTACTAAGCCATGTGGCTAATATAGATAAGAAGAATGAGTTAATATAAGTTACAAGAGCTAATAGGAAGCCTGACCTAATGGACCAATCAGTTTATAATCTTATGGAGTTCTCTGTGTGATATTCTTTGGGGCTTGTTGGCTGTGGGGTAGCAGGTGGGACATAAACTCCAATAGTCAGCTCTCATGTTATAACCTTGTGGAAAAAAAGAATGCATGAGTGTCCTAGAGTCAAAGACAATGCTTCCTCGTCTCCCTTGTACAGGTGGATAAGGTGTATGTACACATTTTTAATAAAGGGAAGGATGATGGCCCAGTCTGACTCAGGGTAGTTCTCATGAAAACTTCAATAAAAAAGTATATATGAGGTCTCTTGAAAACAGGGGAGAACCTCTTCTCAGAATGGGAAGTTATGAGACTACCTTGAGAAAATGAGAAATCCCGAATGTCTTTATTCACAGGGAGGAGGGTTCCAGTCATATTTGATAGAATATGCAGTTCACCCATGATCAGAAGGGGAGGGTTCCATGGCATCTTGGGCAATGGAATAAGATTCTGGCACTGAACTAGCATCCAGCTATTTTCCCCAAAGCAAACATACATACCCAGTGTGAAATCTTTGAGAGTCTAAGGCAAATCTCATAACAATCTTCCAACAGGCTAAGTGGTTATGCAAGCATTGATGTTTCCTCAAGGTTGTGTTCAGCTGTGCATATTTGTGAATAAAAGAAACAGTGCATTTTTGATTACCAAACTTGGAAATACATGGCTTGATAGCCAATTTTCTCTTTCTACCTTCTGTCCTGTGATCTTAAAGCAGAAAGTTGTGAGATCCCATTGATCACATATGTGTTTATATGCTTATGACCCTTGATCAGAGGGGCCAGATCTAAAGCAATCCTAGTTAGTAGAGGAATGTGTGAGGTCACCAACTTTAGAAGGGAAGCTTGATGGTTCTTTAGTCTTAGGGTAGACTAAAGAGCTGAAGGTCAGAGGGTGGAGGTCTTAGACATCCCTTCTATTCAGGGGTCAGTTTTGGGTGACCTTTCAATAGAGGTTGATATTTCAGATTTCCTTTTGTGCAAACTGAACTTCTGCAATCATCTTCCTGGAAGAAAATAGATAATTGGTTCACAAACCTTCAGGGAAGACCATGAATGTCTGATACTTGCTTGACTTGGTAGTATAATGCACTCTTGGTCTGACACCACTGCAATGAGAAGAAAAAAGACAGAGTCACTTGGGAGGAATAAGAATATATAAGGATCACGGAACACCAAACAAATATTTTAGGGTAGGGCTCATTGGAAAATGGGGTTTAGGGAAATCTAAGTCTTAGAAGAATTCTGACATCTTGTTCCATGTACTGAGAAGGAATAGGTGACTGATTAATAATAATAATAATAATAATAATAATAATAATAATAGGAATAGTAAAAATTCTGAGCCCAAAATAAGAGAGAAAACCTCTGAGACACTATAGAAAAATGAGGACAGAATCACCTTTGGGCAGAGTGTGAAAATGTCAAACACAATTCTGTTGAAGGTGAATATCCTTGGCAACTTATACAGTGGAGAAAGTTTCCAGTACTGATCATAACCTTCCAACTCTTATTCATAGTTTGTGTTCCTTCTAGGAGAGACAAGGCAGCAACTATCTAGGTCTTCTTCCAAAGGCCTGGATGATTGTTCCTGGCTAGTTCATGTCCTGTAGTTTGTGTTCAGCAGTCCTTTTCTAGACAGAAATGTTGAAGTCTTTCCAATTATATTGACTGATCATAAGGCAGATGTCATGGGGTTCTATGCTCTGATGGTCAAACATGCCTATGGAACCTCAAACCAGAGTGGAGTAGTGTCCTTTGTTTATAGAGAGAGTCTCCCATGGACCTATGCCTGAACAGCTTGATGGAAGACCTATTAGGCCATTCATGGAAGGTTTCAGGCTCCATGTTTGAAAGGGAGAATGTTTTGGGAAGTTAGGAAAGAGACCAAAGGTCCAGAAACCCACAAGCAGAAGATGAAGCTCCAAGGTTACTTTGGGAACTAGAAGGATAAGCCAATATCTTATAAGGTCCAAATGTCCTCACACTATGGAATACCCATGTGCTTGGGGGCTCTGAAGATTGATTTCAAGAAGAGTGCTTTTTTTCCTTTTATAATTGATTTTTATTGAGCTCTACATTTTTCTCTGCTTCCCTCTCTGCATCTCCCTTCTCCTTCAATCCTCTCCCTATTTCCCCATGCTACCAATTTCCTCAGGAGATCTGCAAGGGAAGCAGAGTGTTTCTATACTGATTGGTTGGTAGTTGCTAGCCCTGTGTCCTCCATATGCCTTTGATCAGTAGCACAGGCATAGGAGACAAAGTGGGACCACTCCATTTCTGGTGAGAATCTTAAAAGTAAAAGGGTTTAATCAGGGATCAGATTTTTACTGTTTTGTCCCAGGATATCAGTTCAGAGTGGTCTGACATCCCTTTGTTCATTTGGGCATGCCTGGACACCCAGATCAGAGGGGAAAGATTAACATCTTCACAGTTAGAGAAATAGAACTGAGGTTTCTGCAGATAAAAGTGGTTTTTCTGAAATGCCAATGTCAGAGAGTTCCTATTTGGAGTTTACATGACTAAAAAATGAACATTTGAGTGAGTCTTCATGTCACTGGCCTGGTCTGTATCCCCTTAATCAGGTGAGTTTCTATCAGTTCCCTTGAAAGGAAATGGTGTGTCTTAAGTCCCCCCTTTCAAGGAAAGTAGAATATAACCACCGTCCTTGACAGGGTATTTATTGTCAGAGGCTCTCATTGGATCAATATTGTGCCTACAGTTTACTGAAGTGCAAATCTGAGACCCATTAATTAAGAATAATGTCTGAGGTCCACTTCATAATATCAGAAATTATATGGGCCCCTCACACAAAAGGAACATCTAAGCCTTTGAAAAAACTGGGAAGATGTAGGACTCCCGTTTTCCAGGATGAAGATCAGATATCTCCTTGATCAAAGGGAGGAGTAAGTACCCTTGTGACGAAAGGAGTTTCTGAGACCCATGAGGCAGGGGAGATATGATCAGGATTTGAAAATCCCATATAACCATGATAAAAATTCAATTGATTTCTATACCTCATAAGCTCCTAGAATTGCTTAACCATATAACTCTTCTTCATAGTTTAGAATATCTTTAGCTGAATCTGCAAGAGACCAAGCATCAATATCAGGATTCATTAAGATACTCAGGAGGAGGCACAGTGTGGTTTACTCCTAAGAATTCTATGCAGGCAAACGGGACTTGGTGTCACTGAGAAATCTATACCATGGCTACTTTACTTAAGGAAGTGTCATGGATTCCTGGATTTGTCTACTTATCTTGACTTCTATGAACTAACCACAGGGAAATATGCTCATTTGTCAATGGTGAAATATTGCAGGTGCACTTCTTCAGAGGGAAATTTATGAAGGCCATTTGGGCCAAAAGGGTATTTTACGGAGTAAGTTATCACAGAAAGAAAATATTAAGGTTTTGGAAAGGAGAGAGTTCCCAAACCTTGTTGGACAAATGGGAATGCCACTGCTTACCTGCTGTAGAGGAGGAGATCCATGGAACTTGCTAGTCCTGCTCCAATTCTTCAGTGAACTCTGGAAAATTCTTTTCTCTGAGGACTCCTTTTGAGGCATAATGACAGTCAGATGGTTCTTCTTACAAGTTGAATTATAGTCCCTAGGTCTGTTCCCTACCTACTTAAACTGTGGAAAGGCTGCACAGGTGTAGACATGGAGGACAGGCATATATCTGGTGTGCAGCATGAAAACAGATGATCTTAGATCCAGGGTACTTTTTATTCTTCTGCCATGCAACTTCAATGTAGAGTTCCATGAGGTTCTTTTGGTGGTCAGAAGTGTATTTACTGGCCATTCAGTTCTGAATGACACGCTGTAGTCTCTATTAGTTATTTGGTAGACCTGAGTAGGCCATGAACACAAAGAGAAGTTCCTATGTTTTCCTGATAATAGGGAGTCAATCTCAAGTACCTGTCAACCAAGTCTGAATTTTTGAGAGCTTTTTCAGTCACAGGGCCGGTTCTGTAGCTTACTTTATCAAACGGGTTTGTCTCAGACTCCTCCAGTAGAGACAAAGGAAGCTATGTTTTCTTGTTCAAAGACAGCATGTTAGAGAAACCCTCCTTTGACAAAGTATGAAAAATTAGGGTTTACTGTGGTTGAAGTAAATAAATTTATAACCCTCTTGAGAAGATAGTGCATCAAGGTGTAAGCTTCCTCAATTAGTGAATTAATTTAATTTTGAGGGGTATATCTAAGACATGATGGAGTTGGTAGCTGGAGGTCTGAACTGTCCTGGTTCGGGAATGAATCTTACTCTCCAGTGTAATTTAGAAGAAATTCTATGGCTCATTAATTCTAAAGGGTTTGTATTTCTGGTCTTCTTGGAGCATTGGGGAAGTCTGAGACATCTTTGCTTCTCACATTACATCTCAGGCTCCCTTCAGCATTGAGGATGTGCACAAAACCCTTGTTATGAAGTTATAAATATGAGGTCCATTTGGGCAATTAGAGAATGTTTGAGGTCTCCTGATTCTCAAAGGAAAGGTGTGTCAATCTTCCCTTGAACCCTGAAGTGGAGCAGACTGAAGCTTTTGTTGTTGACAGGTAATAAGTTTACTGATAAAAGTTATGGGTTACTTTCAATATAGACAAAAAAGACTGAGGCCACTTTGGCCATTGGAAAAGATCTGAGACCCCCCCAGTGCTGAAGGAGAGGTCAGAAGATCCTTTCATTCATACATCTGTTTTGAAGAGCTTTGGTTCTGTTGCGGTGGGGCTATAGCCTTCTTGAGAATTGGTGGAGTGAATTCTGCATCCTGGTTCAGAAGAGTTGTGCCTGAGCACCCAGTGAGTCCTGGAAAATAATTTGAGCTCCACTTCAGTCACTGGGGCAAAGGATGAGTCCTCCTGGGCCTGAAGGAATAAGTCTGAGGCCCCTTTGTCAGAAAATAATATTGGAGAACCTCTGTACAGAATGAGAATGAAGCATCCAGAGAAATGGAATTTTGAGTACAAAATTTTCTGTTTTTAGAGACAGAAAGCCTTATGCTATTTTGGGGAATGCAGAAAGGTCAAAGACTCTTGTGGGAAGCATGGAATATCAAGAGTCAATTTGGGAATTAAAGAAGTCTGAACATTTCCTGATCAATCTTCATGGGAATGTAGAATATCCATGTCTTGCAGTGCAGGCAGCAGTGTGATCAGTCTTCAACATGCTAGGAGGCAATGTCTCTGGACCAAATCAGTTAACTACTTCTGTTCCTGTGATTTATTCATTTTTTTATTTCTCCTGATCAAGTTAAGGCATATATACTGGGTTTAGGGCACTGCTGGATGTTCTAACGCTCTAAAACTTCAGGCACCAGGGTAGTTTTATTTTTGGACAGAGGCTTTGAAGTCAGATGATTAGAATAAGAAACACTCAGAACTTCTTAGACAGAGGGAGTTAATCTGTCACCCGCTAAACCATATGAAGTAAATCTCGGGCAACATTAGTCAGAATAAGCACATGCTATTCTCAGTGGGTAATAGATTGTTTATCATGTTCTGTGTAGAAACTGTGACCTATTAATAATCAGATGGAAAATGCCTGCCTTCTTTATAGTCAAATGAACCAATCTGATGCCTCAATGTACATCTGGAATAGTCGGGAATGGAAATTCAAGGTTTAACGGGTTTTTGATGAGTAGGAAAAGTTATAAACTCCTGTGGTTTATGTGAGACACAGAGTAGAAAAATATGAGGCTGGCCTGTGCATAAGATGATATAAAGATGGCATGATAACAGAGAGTATTCCCTCTTGAGATGAGCATTTTTAGAACTTCAGTTTGACAGGCGTGTAAGGTTTGAAGCCTCCATGGGCAGAAGGATTGTATTGTGGGCTTCCTGGGGCAGAAATTGAAGTTTTAACCCACTCTACATTAGAGGGCACATTTCTGTATTCCCTTTGGTGACAAGGAGGAAATCTGTGGCTCAGTGTTTTAGATGGGCTATTCTTGAGGCTCTCTCTTTCAGATTGAAACATTCTAAAGCTGCCTTGGATGGGGTGGCCACAGGAAAGTCTGAGGCCCCTTTGGTCACACTGAGAAGACCTGGTGCCTTCTTGAGGGAAGAGGTAAGAGCTAAGGCTCTTTTTTGGCAAGGGGATCCTTCGGAGATTGCATGGGAATGAACGTGAATATCTGTGGCCTCCTAGGAGAGAAGGGTTACATATGGGGGTCCCATGTTCATATTGGAAGCCTGTGTCTCTTCCTTGGTAAGAAAGGGAAGATCTCAGGTCTGCTAGTTGAGGTCGACTATGTCTGAAATTTCCTTGGACAACAGGGAATGATGTGGCACTCGCTTTTGGAATTGGTGAATATATGAGTCCCCACTGTACAGGAATCCATGCCCCACTCCCCTCTCTGGCATCAGTGGAAGGTTTCTGTCCCTCTTGAACAGAAAGAGTGTGTTTAAAGTCCTCCTTTGTAGAAACAGGATGTCTGACATCATTGCATTCGGGTGATGAGAAAGACTTGACACTCCCAGTGGGACTGTCTCCATCTGGAGATGACCTGAAGCTTTGTTGGGCCTCACTGGGAGTTTTGATGACTTCTTGAGTATAAGGGGAATGCCAGAGTCTTGTTTTGGTAGAAGAAGAAGTAAGGCTGGAAGTCTCATGAGGAGAGATAGAATGTCTGAGAGTCTCTTCATGAGAGGGAGTAGTTCCTATGTCCTCTTCTGCAGACGTGGAAGCTTCTATGCTCTCTTGGGGAGTAGCGTTTGGTTCCTTGTCCCTTTTGACAGATGAAGCATGTCTAAATCCTCTTTGTGACAATGGGAGATTCTTACAGCCCTTATGTTCTGTATGGGAAGCATGCACATCTGCTTTGTTAGAGGGGGCCTGTTCCAATTTAGTTTTGATAGACCTGGAATGTTTATGATTGCCTTGGGGTGATGCAGAACTTCTGCCGCCCTCCTCATGAGACTGTGAGAATCTGCAGCCTGCCATAGAGAGGGAAGATTCTATGCACTCTTGAGGAGTAGCTTTTGGTTTCTGGTCCCTTTTGGAGGATGAATTTTTGGACTCTGTTTTGGACAAAAAGTGTAGTTTGCAGACCTCATGTTCTGAATGGGAAACATGAACATCTGTTTTGTTAGAGGGAACCTGTTCCAATTTGATTTTGGAAGATCTGGAACATCTAGGGCTGCCTTGGGAAGATGGAGAACATTTGAGGACCTCCTCATGAGATCGGGAGGATCTACAACCTCCCTTAGCAGAAGTAGTAGTGGGGCTCTTTTTGGGATCACTTTTAGGCCTTGCATTAACTTTGTTAGAAACTGTATCTCTGCCCTCCTTTTTGGGAGAATGGTGAAATTTCAACCCTTTTTCTTCTGATGGGACAGATTTGAGGCATGATTCTTTAGAATCATGTTTTGATTTTGTTTTCTTTGATTTTGAATGTCTGGAGCCACCTTGTGGAGAGGGAGAACATCTGAAATATTTTCTAGAAGGGGAACTAGATCTGAAGTTCAATTCTGATGATTCTGGGGGTGAGACACTCCTTGGAGGAGTAGAGGTAGAACTTGAGTTCTTTCTGACATATATGGAAGATGTGAGCCTACTTTTGGCAGAAGATGATCTTAAGACATCTAGTTCTGAAAGTGAATATCTGATATCTCCTTCAGGAAATGGAGCATGCCTTGGTATTTTTTTGGTAGAATTGAAATGTCTATGGCTTTTATTAGGATAAGAGGAATATCTCAGACAGTCACCATGAGAAGGAATTGGAATAAAGTCGTCATGTGCACAAGTGGACAATCCCCAAACCTCCGTTGAAAAAGAAGTTCCTACACCTTCTTGGGTAGATGGCATAGGTTCTAGAACCCCTTGGGATGGTTTGAGGTTTCCAAGAGTCTCATGGAGAGGTGTTGATGGCTCCAGACTTCCTTGATCATGTAATGAAGGTCCTAGAGTACATTGGTCAGAGGTCAAATGTCTCAGAGCCTCTAAAAAAGATGGTAAAGATTCCAGAGCACCTGACTCAGATTCTGAAGTCTTACAAACCTCTTTGACTGTTGGCAAAGGTTCTGAGGTTTCTGATATAACAGAAGGTTGCAGAGTCTTCACTGAAGGAGGCAGATGTTCTAAATAATCTTGGGAAATTGTTGAAGTTTTTGTAATCCCTTTGTTAGAAGATGGCATTTCTAAAATACTTTGGGTAAATAGTGGAGCTTCTAGTATCTCCTGATCTGAGTCAGAAAGTCCAAGATTTCCTGCTTCAGATGATGACTTTCCTAAAGACGCATGGTCCAAAGAAGGGCCTGAAGCCTCTTGGGATGACAAAGACATATCTGGAGAGCCTTGAGCAGATGATGAATGTCCGAATGATTCCTGTGCTGATTTGGGCAGTCTGAGGGCCTCTTGTGAATATAATGAATTTCCTGTATAGCCTTGCTGAGAGGGTGAATCTCCTTGTATACTTGAAGATATTTCCAGACAACCTTGTTCTGAGGGGGAGAGCGACCCAGTCCCAGATGCAGGTGGAGTG